CTTGAGCTTCTGATATTTTTTGAAAGCCGATTGCAGCTACTGGGTTGCACTTGGCCATTCTGAGGTGGCGAGATGAACAAAGGTCCTTGTGGCTCGGTTGCACATCATCAAGTATTGTTGATTCGGATAGTTGTGCTTCGCAGCACAACTGGCCCCAAGTTGCTTTGGATTCACCAGTCATCCTTCGGTTTCATGTTGCTACCGCTCAGCCAGTCAGCTTTCATTGTTTGCTCTGCACAACCAGGCAGGAAAGATCATTCATTTGGCGAAAGCTCCCGCTCCCAACTGGAAAAGGGGGATGGTGCCGTGCGCCTTCGGCGCACAGATGAACCTGGGAGTCTGCTGTTGCACCGGGAAATGAGATGGATAACTCGGGTTGCCAAGCACTGCGTAATGCCGGCGTGCAGATACAGACTAGCTGGGTCATTGCAGAAGATCACGCCCATGGCCGAAACCCATAAGGATTGCCCTGGCTCGATTGTTTGCCTGCAGCGAGCCTGTCAATGCATGCCAGCACAAGTCCCGTTGAAGAGCCGTTGAATCTCCCCTGACCGGGCCCGGGTCAGCATTCTTGGCTCGATTTGCCTTATCAACTGACAAGATTCCTATTAGTGTTTGTTTTTGTGTGCGTGTGTGCTTGTTTGTGTTTTTGAGGGCACGCTGGTTAAAATGGCAGCCACCCTGTTTGAGCGTCCCCCTATTTTGACACCCACTTTCCAGTCTTCCGCAAAGTCTCATTTCAGCAGCACCAGAACTCAACAAGGAATTTGGTGGCAAAAGGTTGGGCCCCCCTCCCCCCCCCAAACAAGGATTTTGGGTATGTTAAAAAGTTGGACCCCCCCCAAAAAAAACCAACTGATTGTTTTGTGTTTCCCTCGTCTTTTCCATTTTGCTTCAAGAGCCCAGGCCGCATGCAGACATTGCTGGTGGCCATCGGGATGGGGGCGCTGTTCCTGGGGGCAGCCCTCGGTGCACTGGTGGCCCTTGGAGCCACCGGCTTCTTCAGCGGGAGCCGAGTCCCAAAAGGGCAGGGCTCGTTGGGTCGAGTCTCAAGGTTAAGACGGTGACCCAAAGGGCTGGGGGATGCTGGGGGTGTATTTTCTGTGGTTTGGTTGCCGAGTTTTGGGGGTTCAAACGGAAATTCGCGGGGAAACCATCCGTGTCGATGGTTGCGGGCTCCCTCATTCAGTAGCTGGGTGCGATCAATAGCAATCATATTGTCTTAATTTTCCGCGGAAACAAAAAGGGAATTGTGTTTTTGTCCAGACCCCAACTTGGCACCCAGGCAACTGGTTCTATTTTGCTGGTTCTGTCATGGATATCGTATTGTAAAGTCATTCGCAGAAACCAACTTTCCATCCCTCTTCTTTTTGGAGAGTTGAACATGTTGGGATCAGCAATGGTTTTAATAATGTGTAACATTTGCGGGAATCTGGCGCCTGTGTGCACAAACTGACCCTTCTTTGTGCTTGCCTACTTTAAGTATATGCTGTCTTACCTAAACCGCGCTCTTTTGAGAAGCTTGTCCTTGCGCAAGGAAAACCAAAACAACACACCTTGAGAAAACCAACCATACAACAACAACAAAACACACAACTAAAGGCCTGAGGGACATGTTTGGGGCATGTTTCCTGGTAGCTCCCCTCCCATGCAAACGCCTTCTAATGGCATCGGCATAAATGTCGTTGCCATACTGCTTGCACTTTTCGCAGGGCATGATTTACAGAAACCAGATGCCTCGACTTGGGCTCAGGGGCCCCCGGCCGCCTGCGCAGAGGAGCGACGGGTGTCACACCACAGCTGCGGCTCAGCAGCTCGGCCATAAAGTTTGCCCAAATTCAAACCCTGGATCTTGTTTGAGGTCGCCCACCAAGCATGGAGGTGCGCAGGTAGGGCGAGTGAGAGAGAGAGAGAGAACGAGAGAAGGAGAGAAAGAGAGCGAGACAAAGAAAGAGAGGGAGAGAGAGAGAGAAAGATAAAGAGGGAGACAGAGAGAGAGAGAGAGAATGCTCGAGGGAAAGAGATACTGAGAGAATGATAGAGGGAAAGAGAGACAGGAAGAAAGAAAGAAAGAAAGAAGCCAATTTGGAAAAGAAAGAAAGAAATAATGAAAGAATGAATGAATGAATGGAAGGAATGAATGAATTAATGACTGAATGAATGAATGAACGAACGAACGAACGAACGAAACAGATCGAACGGAATACACATATCAAAAACAGTATTACTCAGTATGATTTATATATATAGAGAGATAGAACAAACACAAACGACACATGAAGAAAGAGATAAATAAAATACAATACAGAAAGAACTATATAAATAAAACCAGACACACATAAAACAAGATAGCTATAGAGCGATAGCAATACAATTAGAAGGATAGGAGTAATTACAATGGACAGGAAAAGAAATACCACAAAATACATAGATAACCAACACCATAAAGGAATAAAGGCAGACATGAATAGCGAAACATAGAATTATAGCAAGATAAAACGGCACAAGGTAATTTTACGGAAAGTTAGAATTTTCATTAGACAAAGAAAGCAACTCTCAAAGAGCGGAACAAGTTCAGAAATTAGTAACACAACAGAAAGACGTAAAGAGATAGATACATAAATGAAGAAATAGCACAACAAGCACAATAATTTACCGAAATGTATGAACATAGATACATGCATGCAGCAAGACAGTCAGATAGAAATACAGAAAACAGAAATACAGAAAGACAGAAAGAAACAAGAACGATAGAAAACATGGATCGATACAGACATTAAAGGAACAACGAGAGAAACAATGACTCAAACCACCATAAATAAATAAAGAAGGTAAGAGAGGCATTAAGCATGACAGACATGAAGAAATGACATAATAGAAGGAGAGGCAAGGAATTGTAGAAAGAAAGAAAACAAAACAAGCAATAAGGACAGAAAGGCCGGAAACAGAGAGAAAACGAGGGAAAGAGAGAGAAGAGGAAAGTAGGCTTCCAAACGGTGTCTGTGCACCTTCAGGCCGGTTGATGGGAGAATAGGGGAAAGGACTCGCGCTAATTGCCATGCACCAGCGATTTTGGGATCGGATGCCACATAGGGCCAAATATCAAGAGACCCTCAGTTGAATCCACATTTCCCCCAGCAGCTTTCGAGGGCGTACTGTGCGCATGTGTCAGAGCAATCTGAGTTTCCTTTCATATATGCTCTGTGAAAGATATGGTTGATCACTGCTTGCCCTGTCCAACCAATTGCCAGCAACACCCTATTAATAGTGACCGGTTGGTAGTGCTTACTTGGTCCCGTTGTTCACCAAGAATGCGTTCTTCTGAGACCGTCCCAACACGCTTCCTTGCCGTGCGCTGTTTGGTTTGCATCAGCATTTAGTTGACCAATCAGCCCCGGTCCAAGGCTCAATCAGACACAGGTTCTTGGCTGACGTGGAGGAGCTGATGGATTGAGGAATTGCAGTGAGTATGGAAGCTAGGTAGGCTGCACCTGCGATAGACAAGAGGAAGCACAGCTGCGGCATTACGCCTTTTTTTGGTTCTTCATGTGGTGTTTGATCCGGTTTAGGGACAATGGTGTTGTATGTATTTGATGTTGTGAATGTAGTATTCTGCGCGCAGGCCTTTTGAAAGAGCTGGGTCTAGCAAAGCAAAGCCTTTGTTCATGTGACTCGCTTTGAGTTTTGCGTTTGGCAGCTTGCTCCACGCGGATCCTGTTCACAGCATGTCAGCCAGCAACCCGGATTCGATATGTGGTTGCCAGACAAATTTCTGAACATTTGGGTCTTGCATAGTTAATTGGAAAGCAACGGGGCAGTAGTTTGTGACACCCGTGCCTTATTCAACAGGCCTTTCCCTGACAAAGTGGCACCTTGAATAATATGTGGCCTTCTGTCGGATTGATACCATTTTGTTTGTCCTTTAGTACGTCTGCCCCTGCAAAGTGCGACGCGGAGCAATCGCTCCTTAATTTGAACTCTTGTGCATGGGATTCGCATGCTTCCCCGCGGAACTGCATGTGAATACAACGCGCCCTCCTTCTTGCGGTGAGCTTTGGATGGCATACAAATAAGCGCGACCAGGAAGCAGCAAACCCATTCCAACAAGAGAGTTATCAAGTGACTGAATGATGTGATTCGTAGCTTGAATTGTCCAGCTTGCTTGGAAGATGTCAACATTGACGTGTAATGGTTGGAAGGTGTCAAATCTGTTGATCAGTTTGATCCGGTTGAAACAAGTACTTGGATGAGTTTCCGCCGAAGCCTTTACAGGAAATGTGAGCAGGGCGCTCGCGGTGTGACGATTGCAGAAAGCCAAGAGGGTAGACAAATACATTCAATGCACCAATGCTCCGAGTAATGTCGGTTGCTTTTTCACCAACAGGCGATCAAGAGGCCTGTGCGATTTAGCTCTTCCGACTGAATGGTTTGAAGGAGTTTGATCCCTTGATATTTGCCAAAAGCCACAATGTGTTTGGTTCGTGGCGTTTGGGTTTCGCTTTATGGCCACCCCGCAAGTTGGGACAATCGAGTGTTTGTCTACCCGACGACCCCACACACACACACCACTCATTGGCTTTGGATGTTGTCATGCGTCTATTTCCGGCGTTGGCATGATTTCAGCCTGGCTATACTCGATACAGAAATTTGGGCACAGCCGTGTAAAGCGAGAAACACTTTTTAATTCTACGTTCTGGACATTTGCAGCCGCAGTCCCACTGGACAGCAACATCAAGCAAGGGCATAGGCGGACTACCAGCTTACGTCGAAAAGCAAGGAGAAATCAGGTCCGATAATGTGTGGTCCTTCTCAAGCCGGAAACATGACTCGTGCACATTTGGGAGCCGAGGGTTTTTGGCTCAGGGGCGCACATGTCGCATGGATCATGTTGATTCATCGAATGGCTAATTTTTCTATGGCCAATCATAAGTGTTCTGGTATCTTATCCCTCAAGTCGCCATCGAAGGTCTCCCCGGGTGCCGCAAGACGCACGATCTGAGGCCCCTCGGTCCGTCTTGAGAGCGCCAGCAGTTGGCATGCCCGGGCACCAAGGGCCAAACACTCAGGCAGGTCTCATCATCCACAGCTATTCTTCAGTTTACACTCGTTTTCAAAGACCGGTAAGAAATTTGTCTCAAAGAGAACTCCCGGCGGGGAGATGGCGGGAACAAGGACTTCGATGAGGTTTTGGCGACGGCAGGGAGGGCTGCTTGGCTTTGGCCCGTGTTCAGTGCACGTGTCAAGAGAAACAGGACGAGAAGTGGCCTTAGAGACTTTGATGTTAGCGGTCCTCACTTGACTCGACGCCGGACTCCGGAGGGGGCGCACGCTGTGCCCCTTCTCCGTTAAGCATTCCCCAAGGGCCTGAATTGTCAGCGGTAACCGGGATGAAAAGATGGGACACCTTAGTTATAGATACCAACATTGTTTTCTGTCGCATTTGTACATTGACTCTCTGATCGAGGCTAAAATGTGCTGAACATTTTTAAGGATCTTTAAGGCAAGTTTCTTCGTTCCCAGATGCAGTTTACTCCTGGGCTGCTCACACCACTCAGTTTCATGTTCAAGTTGCACAAGCAAAGCATACCCCCCCCCCCCCCCCGCGACCAGTTCAGACCCTCAGCGCAATGACACAGAAGCCCAGCACCCTTCTGAATGTCGCCGGGAAAAAGCAATCATGTCTTTGCTGCAGGATGTTCTTTGCTGTCTGCGAGCGAACGCACGTTCCTTTCGATCAGCTGCTCCTTTCAATGTGTCTTGCCGCTTAGGCAGTCCGAGAAGGTCGACAAAATTGTGGACTCCATGAAGGACTTGCGCCGACAGGGGGAAAGAAGAAAGACCAAGGGCGTAGTTATACCGTGCTGGAAGAAGTGCACAAGACATGGGCCGGCAAGAAGGAGGAGGTTGAGCCCTGCGACAAATATATTTCCTCCAGCATTCGCAGCATGGTTCTCCCACCAGCACTTCTACAGCACTTGGTTCATCGACGTTACACATTGCACTGGACATGGGTGTGTTTGGCAAGCAAAGAATGCAGGATATGCTCCATTTGCTGATTCCCTTCCATCTAAGACAATCTCTGAAGGGTTTGAGAGAATCCAATGCCTCAGCCCGGGGGCAAGCGACTGAATTCACAGCTGCCCAGCAGACCCCCAGCAGCACTTCCTGTCCGAGATCGGTTCGTGGAAGACGCCCGTCACATGCAGTTGGCAAGGATTCAACATGGTCATGATTGTTTGGGTTGGAATTGGTTCACGGTTGCAGGGACCACTTGTTCGAAGCCTTGCATGTTAGACAGGTTTGTGGCAGAGGGCTTCCTGACAGTCGGCTTTGACTGGGCCCGTCACAGAGGTACTCGCAAATTAAGACCTGGGTAAAAGCAACGGGGGGGCTACAATTCCGGTGGCTTTGCTGGTGATCGGGCGCATGGGGTGCCACACGCCAGGAGCTGACCTTGCTGGAAGCCTCAGAGCTCGTGAAGGCCATCGAGGACCCGTGCTGGTCGCTTTTGGTTCATTTTCTCAAAGGGTTGGGCTACAGAAAAATCTACAGGAAATGGCCCCAAAACATCCGAAATCAGCTGCTTTCCTTGGAACATTTGCAGGACAGCAGCTGATTTTTATGGTGTTTTGGGGCCGTTTGCTGTTGACTTTCGTGGTTTCTTGAGTTGAGGGAACCCCTTTCAGGTTGGTTAGCACAAGGACCACCATTTGTTGGGGCCTCCTATTCTGACACATACTCACCTGTCGGATATTTGGGGACACAGTGCAAGAGTTTCGTTGATGTTTTACAAGCACAGGGAGGCCCTGGGGTCCATGAGGTGCAGCGTGTGTGCATATCCATGTTTGGATTTCCGAATGTGGCGTCCCGAACTTGTCTTTGTGAGCTTTGTGAGCCCGGCTGGCTGTTGCTAACTTGCGGCGCTCAGATCTTGTGATTCAGAGACATGCACGCGGCGGCTGAGCCTTTTGTATAGATAGGCGCTGCAGCTGCATGCACTTTACACCAAAACGCAGGCTGAGAAGATAGATTGGCGTATCTATTCCGACCATCCAAGCCCTTTTGTATTTGGTCGGCCCTTTGAGACGATGCCTCAGTTCTTGGTAGCAGGCTTGTGTACTTACAGATGGTCCAGATGGGGATGGGTCAAGATTAAGCCACCCAGATATGAACCGCAGGTTTAGTCCATGCTTTCATTAACCAGGGTTACATTTGGGGGTACCCTATTTTTGGACCCACAGACAGATCATTCTTGTCGGTTTGGAGGAGGCCGCGTTTGTCTCGCCTGCAGGAGACTTTCGGCGTAGATGCTTCAGCCAGCGCCGGGGCTGCCGGTGACCCAGCTAGACGGCATATGTGTTGTCCCGGTTATCATAGCAGTCCAATACTCAGTTGATGCATCAGGGAACAGGGGGCTTGGTGGTTTCCAGCCGTCCGGTTCGGCTTGGTGGTTTCCAGCCGTCCGGTTCTTTAGGTGTTTAGTTGTTTTAGTGGGATTTCCATTTAAGCCACTAAAAGTTAAGCTTATGGTGGGGGATCTGAGGACAGCCCAGGTACTTGTCGCCCTCTCGCTGAGGTGGTCATGGCGGCCCCCGGCGGCGGAGGTGGCGAGGAGGAGTGGCTGTGATTTGCATGGGCAAAACGGTGACCTCAAGAAGGGCAGAGCCATGTTTTGTGGGGATGTTTGGATGCATATGTTCCTGGACATGTCGATGCACAAGTTCCCTCAGCCGTATCCTGCACGAGGGAATGCACAATGGCGTTTCGGAAAGTGGATCAGAGCCTGGATCTTGATCCTTTTTCAACACATCGAGCCTTGTACTTTCGCTCTTTCAGGACCCTTGAGGACAATGTGGGTGGTGTGTGTTAAATTATTTGATATTCTTTGCTGGCTCAGCAGTCATCATGCCTTAGATAGTTAATCAAACAGTGGCTTATATTCAGAGTCACCTAAACGACAGGGGAACACCGCCGGGAACACCTCGATGAGGGACCAGGGGACGTTTGACAGCAGAGCTCACAGGAAGCGGCCCCTGAGAAGACCGAGTTTGATTTGGTCCTGAAGGAGGTCAGCGAGTGGACACAGCTTGAAGTCTTTGTGGATTGAGCCGGCAAAGATTTGCAACGGCGAGCTCACCTGGGGATAAAACGAGCTCACCATGGGAATCCCTTGTTTCAGGTTTGGGACATGTTGTAAAAATCGAGGAGAGATGCAGTTGCTCACTTTTCGGGGCCAAGTTTTGAGACACAACATGAGACACAGACACATATTACCTGGTTGATTGGGGGATATTTTGAAGATGTCAATCATGAACATATGCTTGGCATTTTCAACGAGATCATCGTTTGCCACAACGTGGGACAAAGGTTGACTGTGTCATTGTTCAATTACATTTCCATCAGCAGCAGTTGTCAGCCTTTTCTTATCCTATCTCCTTAGGCAACACCTCCGGAACCTTCATTGTTTATTGGCTTCCTCTCTTGACCAAACTCGGACAGCTGGCCCGGCGCGAGCCTAAACGTCCGTGTCAGACATTTAGTTTGCGCATGCTTCGGTTGTAGCCGGAGCGTTGGTTGACTTGGCTCTTTGAAAAGGAGGAGGGCGCATTTGTTTCGCGGTTTTGCCGTAGAAGGTTGGTCCAGCAAGCTACTTGCCAGTTTCAATGGCTCTGCCACAGTCCTGCCTGTGGCAGAGGGGTGACCCGCGATCTGCGAATGCATGAAGGATCTACTGGCGGGTGGACAAGTCTTTTTTGTCAGGTGCCTAAAGAAAAGAAGATCGCCGTGATCAAGGCCATCCGAAGCATTACAGGCCAAGATGTCAGACTGTGGGAGGGGCATTCGACCAGCTCTCGGGCAGTCCCTCAAGTTTGAGGGGAGAAAGTCATAGTCTGGGTGCCCTTGATATCTCTGTGGATGCTGAAGAGCCAAGTCAGAGGCCTGATGGCTTGAACCTATAAAGCTTTCGCTCGGCTTGAAGGGACCTGTCGATCTCAAGGCACCTAAGCCCAGGACTTGGTCTCAAAGATGCAAAGGCGCAAGCAGACAACCCCGGCAAGGCGCCATCGGGAACGGGGAGAGAGCTGGGCCCAACTTGACGTGAGCTCGAACAGGTCTTGAAACCCACGCCACCTGTGGCGAGTGTTTCATGCGCCACATGCTCAGTTTTTGCCAGTGGTGTTTTTTGCGCATAGCGCAATTGTTGGGTGACGCGCCTGACAAATGGCAAGTAGCTTTTGGCTGGTGGAAGTGCACAGTTGAACAACATGTCTTTCTCGTTTCATGAGTGCGACAGGCTTTCGGGAACGGTCAGCACGAAAGGTTCCCAACACCAAGATGGGCAGAGAGGGGTATTCCCGAGATTTGGCTAGCAATCATTTGCAAGTGTTATTTGCTTTCTGGTCTTGATGCGTGGTTGTGTATTCAAGTTTACCAACGCCACAGCCATTCCCCATCACCCGATATCACCGGGGTTTGAGTCAAGTCACACCGCCTCAATGAGTTGCCGGAATGGCCAAGTGTTTAGTGAATTGTTCAAGAGGGGCGTTGAATAACTAAACCATAGACCACACAACCCAACAAGTGTTGCGTTGATTCATTTCGGAGTCATTGAACGTCATCGCCTCGCAAAAGAATTTGCTCAGTACAGTGTTCCTCAAAATCAGTGGGTACTAGTAGCGCATGGGCCAGTGCAAATCCTGAATCACTGCCCTCAAGCCACAACCCGCACGCTGACGGGATGGTCAAGCTGTATTTTGCACTGGGAAGGTTTTGACCCCCTGTTTTATTTCAGACAGAGCTGGAGCGCTTTACAGTACCGTGGTTGCATTTAAACATATTCCGGGCCAGGGCTTCAGGGCTGGGAGGTAGTGTACAGAGCATGTGTAGATCGGATATTTCAAGTGGCCGACCGGCCTACCCTCACGAAGCAGTATGACAGATTTGTGTTGATCGGATCAGACCCAGGATGTCATGAAACTTAAGCCCTTGCCAGCAGCTGCGCCAGCTCTCCAGCCTTCCATTCCAAGCCTCCAGCTCTCCAGCTCTCAAGGGTTGGCCCCGGCAGAATCCTTGTCCGAACATGTTCTGGCCAGGTTCTCGAGGGCAAGCCCAAAGACGTTTGCGAGGCGCGCTCCACTTGCACTCAGCTTTCAGGCGGACTTGCCTAGCCGGCAGGTCTCCATGTCATATGTCACTCGTGCTTGCCAGCGTTGACAACGTTTGTATGGCATGAAGTCACTGGTGTGGGTCAAGAAACCAAGTCCTTGCAGTCATGGTTGAGATGGCACAGAACATCCTTCCTGGAAGCGAGGGCGTTGGGGGCTGCTTGTAGATCCTGGTGGTGTTGTTCTATAGATGAAATGAAGGCGACTACGAGAATCACAGGGAAACCACACTGATAACGAAAGCAGTGCAAATGAAAGCGTAAAGAACCCACAAGAAAGCATGCAGAACGCCAAGCGCGGGCCAAAAAGATACCAAATGGAAACCGTCAACAGGAAAGAAAACCGCAAGCCAAAAGAACGAGAGGTCTCAACCAAATGGCGACCAGGAACCCGGAAGGAAGCCCGAAGGAGACAAACACACATCACTACGAATTTAGACGGCCAAAGGACACTGAAAGTAAACCAAGAGCCAAGCAAAAGGGGATACCTGTCCAACCGAAAGGATAGAAAGAAGGACACGCAGAGCAAAAGGCGAAGAGAAGCCGAGCACAAAGAGCGTCAAGAAACGGATGGAGCCCAGAACCAATAGTGCTGCAAAAAACAAACACGCCGCATCGCTCAGAGGTACGTAACCAAAAATAGGCACTCAAAACTAAACAGAAAAGACATCACAAATGCAACATCATCAAAACAGGCAAAAAGCCGAAGAAACCCAAGGCAAATATTGTGTTTGTGTTGTTTGAGGGTACCCTTGTCAGTTTTTTGGCTTAAAGTGAAACCAAAAGGAAAGCCATCAACTTTGGAGGTCCCCCTCTTTTGACGCATATCTCACAGGGGTTCCTTGAACTGGTTGGTTTCCTTTTGCCCTTCTGCCAAAAGGGGGTGCGCGCGGGTCACCGAAGACGGGTCAGGATGCCAAGAAGCAGCTCGAGGAGGCCGGCGCCAAGGCGGACATCGAGTGAGCGATGCGCTTTTGGTGTCAACCAGGGGGTACGAGCCAAGATGCACTGGCTGCAGCTGTTACCAAGATGCTAGATGGTTACAAAACACGTGTCTTGTGGTGTTTGCTTTTGGTTCTTTGGCGGAACTGGAGATATGTTGAAGTGTTTTGGATTTAAAGCGAGGGTTCCAGTAAGGATGCGCCTAAGAACGCATGGACCTCTTGGTGAGTAGTTCCTCCTGAGATTGACGGCAAGTGCCTTAGACTTCCCTGAACGGCTGTGTTCGCATCTAGTTTTCACCAACACCCAGCAGCAAAATGATTAGACTCGGGTGAAGCGATGAAGTTCTAATATCAAGTCAGTGCGCGAGCACGCTGCCAAAAGAGGACGCGGCCGCTCGCTTGGACGGCTTTTGGCTTTGCCCCACCTCCTGGGCAAACAGCCTCGTGTGCCATTGTTTCAACTGAACCACGGGGGACTCATGTTGCCTCCATGGTTTGGGGGTGGCAAACAAGTACTGCTGCAGTAGCACCATTCTTCATTTGATTCAGATCTTAGTCTTTGGCGGAATCGCAGTGTGGCATAGTTAGTCCAGCAGGTTATGTGCAGGCAGCCTGAGGAACATGACGCTTCTGCTGCTAGCACTCTTTGCTCACACCGCAGCTGTGTGTGTGTGGCTCAGTGAGAGTCCGCCAGTTTCTTACTTAGCGGGCGAAGAACAGCACACGTTTGAACATAAAGCCCACAGCTGTGTGATCCACATGGCAGTTTGGCAGCATGTCCTCTACCCATACCCTCATTGCACCAGGTGCTTGATGAGTCAATGAGCAGATGATATTTCCCTCTCTTTCTATGGAAAGGAGATCTTTTCGGATTGCCAACTGTTTGGTCCAGGTTGCAGACGAGCGAGAGTTTTCTGAACCGAGTTTCCACGCCTCCGATTCCACCATTTCCAGCCGATTCCACCGATTCCGAGTGCGGATCCATTTGCCTCCCTTGGCCCCAGTCGGCCACGCCCGATGGCTATGGATCCGCCGCCGGCGAAAAAGAGGACGGGGTCAACGCACACCGACCTCAAGGGTGAAAGCAGATGGTCGGGATGTCCCTTTAGGTTTAGGTTATGAAAGCAACATGTGGGAATTGTGCCATCTTTCACCCAACTGTATTGCAACTACTGACCTTGCTTTGCCTTAACCCTTCCTTGGCTTATACATTACGCCATGTCGATTCGAGCACCACACCCGGCTAAGCCTTTTTGGCTTGTGCTCGTTCACGGAAAGGACACGGCTTGAGTGTCTGAAGCACGTAGCTGCTCGATTGCCCAAATGTGTCCTTGCAGGTTCGATATATCTTGACCTGCACCTTTAGACCTCGAAATGCCTTTAAACATGGTTTGGGGTTGTCAACGAGCACACCGCGCAATCGGCAAGCTAATTCATGTTTCCGGGGTCTCCAGCAAACGATGTTATATTTTAGGCTAAGCATGGAGCAGAGTCGGAAGATTGTATTCTGTGTCCACTTGATGTTTCCAGGGTCTCCCATAATAAATACTATTCTTTGTGTAGCCGGCTTTGGGCCCAGGTAGCCACCAAATCCAAACAGTGAGCGCTTAACCGGTCAGGCGCCCCATGGTGCCACTCTTCGGGGCGTGGGGCGCCGAAGCAGAAGGTGGGTATGTCTCTACTGGGCCTTCTTGGATGCTTTGAAAAGGACGCCAAAAGGACCCCCCCCCCCCATTTTGGGGGTTCCTCTATGAGAGGAAGCCAAAAGTATCGTTCGCAGGTTGCTTGTTGATTGGCCAGCGAGACTAAACCTGTTCCGAGGAATCAATTTTGCCGCGGCAGACTTTGCAACTTTCAGGGAAACGGGGGGGAGGATGTCAGCAAGAATTCCACTGGGCACGAGTGGCCCTCCAGGGCGCCGGCAACCTGAGGCCCGGGGCGGAGCCTTCCAATGGACAGGCTCCGCCGGCTCCGCATGCCGACCCTGCATTGTGATAGTTCACTGAGTGGGGCTGGTGTTCCTATCAAGTGCTTTGCACGAGTAACGTGGCCTAGAGACCTCACGGTGCCCAAGGATTTTGGGTTGGTTGACCGGCTTGTGGGCTGTGATTTAAGCTGGTTGGTTTAGGGCTGGCTTAGGGTCGGTTTAGAGTTTCTGTGGGCTTAGCGGTTGATCTGAGTGTGGTTAGAGGTGGGCTTGGGGCTGCTCGGGCGGGTTCAGATTAAGCCTCGGGTTTGCTTTGAGGTGTGGATTAGGGCTGGTTTGGGGTGAGTCTAAGATCGATCTTTCGGGACATGCTTGCCATGCCAGCCCCCAAAATTCAACAAACCGACACACTTGAATAGCGGCGTAGTTCAGCTGGCTTCAAACAACCTCGCTTCATCACTAGTCTGTGGGCAAGCTAGGCAAGCGGCTCCAGGGATTTCCCAGTGGGTTTCCTGCCATCATCGCCATGAGCATCCAATGAACATCTAGTAACAGTGAAAAGGCAATGAACCTCCAATTGTTCTCCCCCTTTGATGAAGCTTCTGTGAAATGTCAATTGTCTCAAACCCGTTTCTTTGAACCAACATTTGCTTGTTGTCAACAGGGTGTTCAATTCATGTTCACCTGACCATGAGGCGTCAGCCAAAGCTAAAGGGTCGTGAAATGTCGTGATTCATAAGTGCTGGAGTAGGTCATGTCAGATACTCGAGATGACTTTGAGGTCCCCTCAAGCCTTCTTTCTTCGCTGAAGCCTCACTTAGGCAGAACGAAGGTGATCTTAACAGTCGCTTTTGAGGCCAAGCACTGCCCACCCCTCAACCAAGCCATAATCAGCCCCCAAAGCCACGCCAAAACAAGTCCTAAACCCACCCGAAACCACTCCATGTCCAGTCGCGACCAACCCTAAATCAACCTTGAACCACCCCACCCCTACTCCAACCCAAACCACCCTGACCCACATACCCTGACAGGATGGGTGGAATCTAAGAAGCACGTGGAAGCAGCACGCGGACATTCCAGGAGACATGTCAATGTCGAATGAATCACGGAAAAATATGTCCGGAAGGTAAGTGAGGTTGTATTAAACAAATGCTTTCAAAGTTTAGTGTTCCGCGGACCCTTGTGTCCCAAACTGCCAAAGTATACTGCACGTATACTGCAAAATTTAGATTTTCAATTTGGAGCTGCAAGAGTGTACTGAAATGTTGTTGCACTTTTTGAGCCGGAGCTGCCAAGGTGGCCCTTTTCGAGGTTGAATGCAAGTAAGGATCGTTCAGTAGAGTACTTAGTGACTGTTTTTGTTAAAGGCAACAGGGGAAACGCAAGAGAAGCCTGCATTTGTAAGAGGGCGACCCAAAGGCAATCAATCACTTCGACCACATGCCTAGTCCCTGTTCACGACAGCCGTGCCAGGCCTCTAATGGCTCCAAAGATGCAGTTGGCCACGCTGGCTGCGTTACCATTTGAAGTTGGTGTCATTGAGCGCAAGTGGCACAAAGGGATTTGCACAGCTAATTAGTGGGCATGGCTCGCCGCAGGATACGGTAGAATCTGGGATGAAGGTGGTTCATGTTCCAAGGCAGGCACGCAGGGCTGGGCATTGACTAGACCTCCCCAACCCCGCTGCTCCTTTGCCCGCCTTTCTTTGCCTGACTGATAAGATTATGATAGCACATGCTAACAAGATGTTCATTGCAAGATGTTCATTGCCCAAGAGCTGGAGTTTTCCGATTTGAACCATCGTCCATTAGAATGACCGCTTCACCTTTTGCTTCGGCAGGTGAGGCGCAGTCTGACAAGGCGTGTCAGGGCAAAATCAATGGAGTCAGCGCACTGGTGGAGTCCCCGGAAAGTTTTTCTGTCTAGCAATCCCCCTTTGCAGAAGCTCGCCCCACAAATTAATAAGATGTTGCATCGCCGTCGCCTTCTCAGAAGGCTTTGGGCCCTTCTTAGAAGCGGCCTTTAGCGCCAGCACTGCTTGCAAGCAAACAAAGCAGTGCGAGTTGTTTTTTTTTTTTTTCTCGAACAGCTGGGCTGCAGAGGCAATCAGAATGAGAGATGAAACTTTCTGCTAATATGGGTTTCATGATCCATGTTTGACCTGGAGCTCTCTCTCCGAATGTTTGTCGCGCTCAATTCAACTACACCAACGTATGTTCAACAAGCCCACGATCAGTGAGTTAGGAGCCACCCCTCGCCTGCAGGCAGTTGAAGCTGAGCCCGCAAAGGTTGAGGCGCAACCCAGTGGACGAGCGGCTTGTGCGTTGCATCTTCAGTTTCTTAGGAGCATATGCTCAACCAGGTCGATGTTTTGTTTGGCGCTGTTCCATATTTCCGGGGGCCTTCCTGTGGGATGGGTCGTGGTAGGCTCCAGCAGAAGCTCCCAAGGCGGGGTCGTGGGTGAAACGTGCTCGGTGGACAGTTTGATTGGGGGGACCTGCTCCGGGATTGTGAGCTGCGATGATTTGTCCGCATGAGTTTTGAGAGCCATGTGTGAAGGGCATCGCATGCTCGTATCAAGACTAGTAGGTTGTCTGGAGGGGCCACACGGCAACTGCCTTGATTTTGGTGTGAGGTATTAGGAAGCAGGAGACATTGAACATTGTTAAGAGTGAAGAGAGGTCCTGCTTGCAGCTGAGAACTAACATGGGGGTCAGGCGGAAGGCCTTGGATATGCTCGGATATGCCTGTGTCCATCTTGCAGGCATCCACGCCAGAGGAACGGGCGTGTGCAGCCGGTTGCCTCCAGAGAACGATGCGGTGTGGACATCAGCCTAGGATTTCCTGTGAGGAATACCACGAGACGTTTTACCAGGTCTTTCGTAGATTTCCCAACCTATGTGTCCATATTTAAGAGGGCGAGCAATTTGTCAGACAGCATCCCGATTCATGCTTAGCATTTGTTTGTCCTTCTCTCCATGATGCATGCAGGCCAAACCCCGTGACTGGTGGTGTTGGATGCTGAAACAGTGTGAGATTGAAGCTGTCGTCCTTATTGCCCATGTGTAATATTGCCTACAATGCGTATGTTGTTTTCGTATGTTGTTTTTCACTTTTATCCACGCATGACTGCTCGTTTGGTTTGTCCCTGGCATCCCTATTACACATGCAGCCTGCCAAAATGGATGTTCATTGTGAAATGTCCTAGCTTGCCCAACCTGCGATGATTCGTGCAGGTTTACATTATCTTACCAGGTGACTCCACCAAGTATTGTTTCTTGCCTCTCGTTCTCCGAAACCCACTTGGGCTTCAACATACTTCACCTTCCTGCAGGTACTCCAACAGCTGTTTCTAGATAATCATCCATGGCGCCATGTCTTTTTTGCTGGATGCTTTCGATCCGGCTCCGCCAGCTGCAGGAGAAGAGCGCACCGCCGGAGAAGCCCGCCTTGCCAAAGGAGGTGCGCGGATGGGCAGACTTGCCATGAGAGGATCTGTCTGACAAGCGCGGAAGGGGATTTGAACTGGAAAGCGGGCGGGATAGGTACACAACATGTGTCGAGCGTCATTTGCCAGGTGGTTTCAATGGACGCTTGCGTGCAAATGGACACCTAAGTCGTAAGTCGAACGTGGGTTAGACATGAGCAGATGGAGGGAAGCGACCCCATGAAGAAGGACCCTTGGCTTTGGCCCCCTAGGTCGGTGAAGTGCACGATTCGCCCAGAAAGTTGAAGAGGAAGTTGAGATGGGCTGGCCTTGACCTGAGGTGCAGCATGAGTGAGTCAGTACCCTCCTAACATGAACCGTGGAACTCAGAACACTCCTTTCACAAGGGAAGTGATCTCAGGTGCATCAGTCAGATTCCAGAGTGATCACTCTTTTCAACCGAGCTGCAGGAGCCAGTGCTTTTGGCCAGTGCCAAGGCCCAGGAGTGCTTTTGCCTGTGCGAGCATGAGGCTTTCGAGAGGTTTGCAGATCTTCGTGTTGCTTGGATCTACGTGTGTCGTTGAGCAGCCGGGTGGGTCCGAGTTCCCTTTGAGAAGAGAGAAACGCTGGAATATTCTCACTGACGTTGGTGGGCGGGCCAATATAGGCATACTGTTTGGCCACAAGCAAGTCGCAGCTTCAGGAGCCCAGCACGGCGGATGCCAAGGTGGCCAAGGAGTGGGGTGAAGCGTCGTATGCAAGAACATGAAGGTCCCAGCAACACAAGAGGTCAAAGTCAGCTGCTTTTGTTCTTGCTGTTCGCTCGTTTAATGCAAACTGAGTAATAATTTTGTGCTGGCATCACTTTGACTCAATGACGTTTATTGTGCTGTGAACCCAGGGAGTCTTCATGCCGGCGACATTGTTTGCTCACGCAGTGGTTGGCCCTTTTGTAGGAAGCCGCCGCATGGGATGATAGGTTTGCGCCCATAGGTTGTGCTGTCTCATAGAATGTGGCATGTGCATGGCAATAGCTGCAAGGCACACAAGATGTTTGTCAACGCTTTTGCTGTATGCCTCGCTGTGGCCAACAGTATGAGTTTCCAGTAGAATATGTGTTGCTATAGCTTCATGAAATTTGTTTGCATCGCTCGCTGGCCGAACCGTATCTCATTTGCCCTGCAACGGGGCCCGCGACTTCAAGGAGGCAGCCAACGGCTCCTTTCCGCCGAAGGCGTGGGTTCAGCGCAAGGCTCATTAGCATGTCACAAGCATGTCACAAGCCCATTGGCATGTAGCCGCTTGTAGCGCTCCAGGGGCTTGCCGGGTTTGAGCCGCGGCTTGATATATGCAGAGCGAACAATTCCAGTGCCAGGTCCGCGAGAAGAAAGCCTCCAGGCAGAACTCGGGAGCTTGATAATGTGGTTCCCAGCCATTTTCTTGGGTTGCTAGCTCTTTAGTGTTTAGTGGCTGGATTCCATTGAACCCACTAAAAGTTAAACTTTAGGGGGGGATCTGAGGACAGCCCTGATAAGTGTTGGTCCAAGGAGGGGACGACACATGTTGGCAGCCACCCTCGGCATTCTCATCGAAGCCTTGCAAGTGCGAACATTGATGCAACAATGGTACTGTATGTACGATGGTGTGTACTAGTACATGTAGTTATAGTTTTGAGTGCACCGTTTGGTCCTGGATGATTCACTAAATGTTACACAAGGCTTTCCTGCCTGCTTTGTTGCACTGAACCCAACATGGGAGGTGAGCCCTGCATGTTGGCAGCATTAGGACTAGTACGAACTTTGAACTTCAGTTATTGAGATACTTCAAAACCCGCTTTGCGCGTGTGAGATTCAGGAAACTATGCTTCCAAGAGCACAATCGAGCCAACATCAACACTGACACACATGTTTTTGTTGACTATGACCCAATTCTGTGGATAAAGTCGAGTCTCCACCCGAAAGGAGCGTGGAGCAGCTCCCACCCGCCTCAGCCCTGGCGCCCAGTCCGTGGGCAGGGGCTTCAATGGCTTCAATCAACTTGACGCTAAGAGGGAGGTCCTGCAGCGCGCAAATAAGAAGTGAATAGACTTGAAAGATCACAAGTTGTGTTGGTTTTGTGTTGGTGCTGTGTTGTGTGTTGTGCATGGTGGATTGCAATGCGTTACATCGTTGTGTTTTGATGTTTGTGTGTCGCGGCTCACGAGAGTTGCACCTAGGTGCAGGCTAAAGCATGGCCTGCGATTGCAAGAGTCGACTCAAGTGGCACTGGTTGGACACACGTGTTCCAGGAGCGGCACTGTGTTGTGTGCTATGTATTTGCTTATTATATATTATTGTATTATATAGTTATATATAATGCAATAGGCTTTATTGATGGTGCCGCAGACACCATGCGCGGAGAGGTCAATGAATAACTGACTTCACGACATGCAGAAGTTTGACCCGCGTGAATCAGTGACCACCTGTTGCCAAGTGAAGTGACAGAAGAGTGTTTGTCTTTAGTCGTGGCCTCCCTTTTTGCCGAGATTATGTACAAGGCGTTTCGTCGTTGCTTCGGCGATTTCACATCCAGAACCAAGCCCTTGGTTCGGGATGACTCGTTTTTGTACCTCGCGAGACCAAGTCCTTTTGACTGCGAGGTCTATGGCTTTGACGGCGGCCTAAAGGAGGAGAGCCGGGGCAAGGCCGGATTCTGGGGGACGAGGCGAAGCCAGGATTGCTTTTGGTTGCTGGTCGGATTTTCGATTGTTGTGGTGCCAAGGGTTGAAGCGCAAGGAGGTTTTCTTCACGTTCTGACTGCGAATGAGTTGAATATTGAAAGAATTGCCACAATGTCGTCTAATTAACTATTTGGGTATGTGCCAAGATAGGGGGACCCTACACCATTTTCTTCTTTTTTTAACCAATCTGAAAACCCTCAAAGAACAGAACCATTTGACCTGCAGTCTTGAGTTTGTAACTTGTTGCTCAAATATGTTGAGAATGTGTTTCACCCATTCCATGTCGCCGTGTTTGAGCGTGAATGCAGGTTTGTCGGTTTCTTTTAATGCCTTGGTTCTGCCCCCCACCGGCCCGGCAAGGCCATTGCCTTGCGCCTGGAGCCATTGAAGGAGGGTCTGCCGGAGTACGAGAAGGTCCTGGGGGAACAAAAGCCGAATTCCCAGATGGCCCGAAGATGGCCCGAAGGGCCAGAGGGATCAGAGGGATCCTGGACTTTCGATCTGCATTTCGGAGCTTTTTTTGTGTGTCGGTTCTGGTTGAAGCGAACCAGAGCTGCGGCATAACCATGGCATCAGCTGAGCCCTTGAGCAACGGGAGGCAGCTGAGCCCTTTAGCTGGGCGGCATTGGCATGTTTCGGTCCTTGGATCGACACTGCACGCACTGGAGATCCCTGGAACTTTTGCGTGGAATGGAGTCCACCGCCACTTGTGTGTGTTTCCGGACAGCGTTGATTGCTCGGGAGAGGCCACACCTGGGAGGGCATCGAGTAACCCAAATGCAGTGAAAGGATTTCAATCCTTTCAAAGGCCTTGAGGTTTTCCCCTGATAACTTGACCGGCTCCTGTCCTGCTTTGTGGCTGTGGCTAGCGGATTGGTTTTTCGATCCGATGGCTTGAGACTGAGGCAGGCCGTGTCCATCGGAACCAATCGCGGGAAGGCGCACGCCTGCCAGTGTTGTTCCTACTCGATGCACCCGTGCCGTTTTTGACAGAACCAACATTATAAATATATATATATACATACACATGATTATATGTATACACAGTGGTTTGATATTACTAGACATAATTATGTATATACAGCGGTATACACAACACTCTGATACACACGCTTGCTTGTCTCAATCCGCAGATGCAGGGAGGACTGTTCATAGCTACAAGCTGAGCATGAGACCGCTCGAATTCTCACGAACCTGTCGCGAACCACTTGTGAGGGAATCCTTTGCATGACAACTTCCGGCAAAAAATGGAATCGCAATGTGGCGCAGGAGTAATCAACAGATCTGTCCTGAATTGATCAGACAGTCTTAAGTGCACCATGCGGCTAACTTTAGCGTCGAACAATGGCAGTTGCAAGCTGCGGTGATCTTGCTCCAATATCTCCGAAGAATGGATACAGAAGGCAAGCCCTGTTGCATGCCATGTGTTTGTCCTGAAAACCTCGGCAAAATCCCTTGACTGGAATTGAGGTCTCTAGGTAGTGCATGATTTGTCAAAACACTATGTTCTTGAGACGTGCAGAATTTGACCCTCTTTGCTTGTTGCAACACCTCGGCCCTTTGCGTTTGCGAACCGAGAGTCCAAATTTTCATACTGGAACCTAGGCCTGAGCAGGCTCGCAATCTTTGTGTTGTTGGCTCTGCGCACAATCGCAATGTTTACCCCATGCTCATCAGCTCAAGGAAACACAATCAGCATTTCACCCACTTTGAGATCTTGAGCAAACCAAAGTTTCAATCTAAGGATCGCATACAGCCAAGAAAGGTAAATGTCAGCAAACACAGCACACATTGTCTAGGTATGACCTTTATATATATATATATACATATATATGCACGTATTCTACAGTAAATGCGCCCATTTACAAATTCAAGCCCTGGACGAAACGGATAGACCCTCTTCCATGTTGACTTGGGCTGTGGAGAATGTTCCTGGTTGCCTTTTTTGCCGACCTTTGCATAGCTGCTCGACATTTAATTTGCCACTGCAAAAAAGTGGCCTCGCCCTGATGCATGTCCCTTGAGCCGCCTCGGCATAAGCTGGAAGTTGCGGATGAGGAGAAAGTGGAGCACAGCCCTGGGAAAACCCACAGTTGCTCACCGCGGCAGGTGCTTTGCAACCTGCCTGCACTGGTTGCAGCGGAGCTGCGGCAGCACCGCCGACTTCTACCCTTGGCTTTGGCTCAGATGCTGCTCCTGGCAGACCAGCCGCTCCTCTCGGTCAACATGTCCACAGTGGCCAAGGAGTTTGGCTTTGACGGCCCCAAGAGGGATGAGATGCTGGGAGGCATCGTGGCCATGGTGTTCTTCAGCGCGGGTGCCATCTCTTCTTTGCTGGCAGGCCGCCTCGCAGATTTGATGAGGCGCACACTTTTGGTGTCCAGCTGCATGCTGCTGGGTGCTGCCGGCACCTTCGCGAACTCGCGAGTGAAAGGCTTCAGCTCCTTACTGGTTTGCCGTGGGGCAGTGGGTGCTGCGCTCGGGGGCCTGTTTCCTGCCAGTTTTGCCATTGTGGGCGATATGTACGCAGCAGATGAGCGTCCGGCTGCCATCGCCGTCATTGCGGTGGTTTCCGGCATGGGGCCAGGATTGGGTCAGGGTCTTGCAGGCTTCGTGGGCCCAAGTGTTGGCTGGAGAGCCCCCTTTGCAATCATCGGAGCTGCTGGGTTTGCGGTGGCCTTCCTGCTCTTCGCACTCCTCAAGGAGCCGAGCGAAGCTGTCGAGAAGGAGCTGGACGAGAAGTCAAAGAGGTACTGCAGATCCTTGTGCTCTGCCCTCTCTACGCCCACGGTGATTTTGACATGTCTACAGGGCATATCTGGATGCGTGCCGTGGGCGGTGATCTCCACATTTCTCACCGACTACCTGGCGACCAACGCGCATTTGGGAGTTCCTGGAGCCACTGCCGTGCTTCTAAGTTTCGGGGTCGGTTGTATGACTGGCACTGCAGCAGGAGGCAAGCTGGGCCAGCACTTGTACAGAAAGGACAAGAAGCTGCAAGCCTGGTTGATGGCTGTGACGGTTTGGGGTGGCATGGTGCCCTTCGTGGTGTTGTTCTCCGCTGCTGGCGCTTGGGGTCAGCCATGGCTGTTTCATTTGCTAGCCCTGCTGGGTGGTTTGCTGGCATCAGTGGCTGGCGGCAACGCCAAGGCAGTTCTGCTGAACACCGTTGCGACCCGGTCACGGGGCACGGTCTTTGGCGTGTACACCATCATGGATGACTTGGGCAAGGGCCTCGGGCCAGCACTGGTGTCCAGCTGGGTACGTCCCCTAGGGCGCAGATCCTCCTTCATGCTGGGCATTTTGCGGCTTGGCACCATCAATTAGAAGCCTGTGTTGTTTTGGTTGTTGTTTCTATTCTGCTAAGCTTCGCTCCAACAGCACTGTGCAACCAGCATGCCTTCGCCAATGCCTGTGTAATTAGGCAGTAAAAGTGCCTGACTTTCAGTGACCAGTTCGCAGGTTCTGGATCCCATGCGGCCTTTTCTGCTGGATGATGACCCGCACCATCCCCCACGATGACTGCTCCGAGATTTTGCCGGAAGAGGGCCCTGTCCGAGAGGCCTTGAAATTCGGCGAAGACGAGCTGGAGCCGAATGAAAGCTGCGAAACTTGGCGATGGCAAGCCTTATGAGCTCTTTTTGTGTGGGCTGCTGTTGGTTGCCTTTTTGGTTTCTGTCTTGTTTGCTTTGGTTTGAAATATGGAGATGTTGTTGAGAGACAGAAGTGCAGACTTTGGGTTGTTGCTGCCTTACACTGGACTAGAAGGGATCTCCACAAAGGGGGGCGGCCCTGACTTGGAGACATACCCTTGCCAAGCCGTCCACGTAAGGAAGTAACTGTGCAGAATCCGCCTCCTCTGGACACTGTGCCAAGCTGCTCAAAGCATATGGCTCGAATTGTCGGGCGCACCACAGAGGACGTCGCCGCGTGCAAGATTTGATGCAGGTAAAAATTGGAATGTGGAAGAGCTGCTTGCAAAGCAGTCAGGTTTGCGGGTTCCATTCTCCCCTTCTAAACCTCCGCGTGGTTTCTCATTGCTTAGACCCTGAGGAGGAGTCACACCTGCGGATGCAGATGTTCACTATTGTGTTTTGGGGCAAAGTGGCCAGGGTTTGTCCATTCCATGCAATAGTGTGAACATTCGACGCCCAGCAAAGGCTGAGGACAGACGAAGGCCTCGCTGAAGCGGACGCTCAGGTGGACGTTGCGGTTCGAGACGAGGCGGTCAGCAAGAAGCACCTCTCGCTGTCGCTGGTAGGCGGAGGGCAGAGACAAGTCGGGGTGTTGGAGACTTGGGACTCCGGGTAATTTTCCAAACCGTGTGGGTCCTTCGCACTGACAGAATCAACATCATTGGCAGGCTGTGCAACATGATCGATTGTAGTCGCAGAAGAGGACATCCCATCAACAAGTCAACTTGCAATGGTTTGCTAGGACTGTTTGCTATATACAGTGTACCACTTGTTTGTTTGATTCTTTGCTCGCTTGCTTGTTTGTTTGATTGTGTGCCGTTTGCTCCATGCTGCTCGAGCAGGTTCCGCGATCATACAAGAATGCGGAAGCTAGAATTGGGTAGCGAGATCAAACCACCGGTGTCATCAATCCTATTTTGAAGAACAACGCTTGAAACGCAAAAGCATGCTGCTCCAGCCTCAGCCATTTCTATATCGTTGGACGTGAACTTGAATGAGGGACGCTTTGGACATCATTTGCATGGGTGTGTGTGTGTGTCTACACTGAGTCTACACGTGGGACCCCACGTGGGCAAAGCTCCCTGTTAGAAGTCACGGTCTTTTGGACTCGACGAGATTGATGTTGGCTCCGGGCCATGAGCCTCCACGGGCGCTGGTCTCTGCAGCCAGCCTCGCGGGCGATACGCTGGGGGAACTCTGGTTTGAGGTGGGCCTTCCGATCGCTGAGCTGAAGCCCGACTGCCAGTGGCACCTATCCCTGGCAAAATATCCCAAGGTTTGTTTTTACCCGAAAGGAGACCAACAAGGGGCTGGGTATTTGTTTTCCGGACCCCGTTTAACCCCCAGGCGCACTTTCTTGGTGTCAAACTAGGGAAAATCCCCCTCAACAACAATTGCCATTTAAACTCCCCCCCCCCCCCCGCAGCACGAAAATGCAGCAGCCCCCGTGCAGGGCAAAGCCTGGGATGGGGAATGTTTGACCGGCTGGAATTTGCTTCGCTGACTATGCCCTGGCTGGCCAGCTTGCCGCTGTTTGCAGCGAATATCAGTCGGTCAACAATCCCTTCTCAGGAGAAATTCCTAGAAAACAGATCGATCTGTTTTCTATCTGTCTCGCTTTTGGGTTACCAGACTTCCAGTGTCCTTCTTCCTTTTTCTGGAGGGGGTTCCCTTCAAACTCAACCAACGAGGTGCCCGTTTTCCCCATGGCCACAGGAGGTTTGTTTTTGGACTGTTGCTTTCCAAGGAAGCTCCGCCTCCGGTCCCTCATCAATGGCGGACCTCATTGCCAGGTCATGCTTCTCTATGATGGGGGCGAGCCCAAGGAGGGTTCCCTTTGGCTGTGGGAAGGATTGAAGCATGAATAGAGAAGGGCCCAGTTCCTTCCAAGACTTTGTGTTGTGTAATGTATCGCCGCCAAAGAAGAGCACACCCCTGCGTCTCAGCACATCAAACAGCATGCGCCAGGCAATCTATTTAGTCTCAAGAAAAGGAATCATAGACAAGAAAGCCGGGTGTGGGTACCGTGCCCGGGACCCGTGAATCGCCAGGACTCTCAGACTTTGACAGAGCTGGACATTGAGCCCGGCGGCACGGTGCGCTTCACCGTTCTCATCTACGACCCCTGGAAGTTGGCCAGGATGGAGATGGATCAGCTGCACCTTGGCCTTTGGTTTCAGCGGTTCTGACACACACATGCCGTTGTTGCGCGTCGGAACATGTGAGCCCGCTGAATCTGAAGGGTGAATCAGGAGTTGACATCGAGTATCAGGAACTGGGTGCTTGGGCTGCCGACCTTTCTGGCCGTAAAAACCAGCCCAGTGGAGCTTTAAGGCATTCACTTGCGCAGATCGGTCAGGAAGATGTGTCTTGCCCTTCTTTGGGCGAATTAGCAAATAGGCAAGGGGCAAAGATCACAAACACGTGTTTTGATTTTTGGCGCTTTTGGGTCATGTGGGGCCTAAAAACCATTTGCGCTCGCCAGAGTGGGAGAACCTGCACCAGCACAGGCCATTTCGATGAGGCAAAGCTTGCATTCAGAAACCAAGTTGCAGGAACTGACCTAGTTTCAGGGAAAATATAAATGAGCAAATCTGACCAAGTTTGAGCACATCGGATCTCTTCATTGTTGGTCAGCTTCCCGAAACACTTAGTCAAACTGGCATAGATTTGCTATGTATATCGTTCGATCTTCTAGAGCAGCTTCGGCTTGTCAGGGGAGCTCGGGTATCCTGAACACTTGGGCAGATTCTCGAACATGTGATTGATCTCTCAGAGTTTCACAGATTGTGAACACGTCATTTTTCTCAAAGCTTGGTCGGCCCGGCAATGAGCCAGGTACCAAGAGGCAATCATGAGGAGCCGGCAAGAAGCTGCGCAGCAACGCAAGGAGCGCCTCCTTCGGAGCTCGCAGGCGCCCATGGCGCCCCGATGGGCGCCCCGGGCGGCGCCGGCCGAGACGGCCGAGCCAGCCAAGCCAGGCACGGCATTGATGCTGGGCGACCAAGCTGCGCCTTTGATGCTGGCCAACGCGCCGGCCAAGGAGCCGCCTCGGGTGACCCGGGTGCCTGGGAAAGACTCAGAAGGCGAAGCGCGACATCCTGAGTCGACCTCGACGGAGTCCGCTCCAGTCTTGAGCTTGGCCAACGAGCCAGCATTTGCCAGTGCAGCTTGGAAGAAAATTAGGGGTTCGCCCAGTGCTACCCGGACCCAGCTGTGATCCAGACGGACAGACAGAGACAGACAGGCAAAGAGATAGACAGACAGACAGAGACAGAGACAGACAGACAGACAGACAGACAGACAGACAGGCAGGCAGGCAGGCAGGCAGGCAGGCAGGCAGGCAGGCAGAGACAGACAGACAGACAAACAAACAAACACACAAACCAAGCCAAGCCAAGCCAAGCCAACCCAACAAGCAAACAAACAACCAAACAAGCAAACAAACAAACAAACAAGCAAACACAAAAATACACACGTAGCTGTGGAAGTTGGTAGTTTGTTTGCTTGCTTGCTCGCTTGTTTTTTTCTTGTTTGTTGTGTGTTTGCCTGCCTGCCTGCCTGCCTGCCCGCCTGCCTGCCTGCGTGCCTGCCTGCCTGCCTGCCTGCGTGCCTGCCTGCCTGCCTGCCTGCTTGCTTGCTTGCTTGCTTGCTTGCTTGCTTGCTTTCTCATTTCTGTTTGTTTGCCTTTGTTTTCAGATTTTAGCTACAAAGTTGTATGGTCTGGGCAAGATATGCAAGCTCAAGAGGTACGGAAACCTGCTCCTCGTCCAGTTCAAGACTGGAGGAAAGAGGCAGCCCAAGTCCGCCTTGCGTACGAGTCCTTTTTCGACCACATTACCTTCCGCAAGGGCTGGCGCGAGCCCTTACTGAGTTTCATTAGACTGTTATTGAACTCTTTATTGCTGTTTTTGCTGCTTTTTTGAAGCGCCTTTTTGGAGGTTGGATGTGCGCAGCTTCTTGGAAAGTGGCTTTGCGCGTTGATTGCTGTTGGAAGAGCAGCTTGTGCCCATCTAAGTGTTTGTGCAGTGCACCACTTCGTACATTGGCCTTTGACAGAGGTGTTTATTCGCAGAACCGCCACTTTGTTCGTTTGCACGTATCACGAGCTACATCAGTAGAAGCGATCATGATAGTCACCATCAGACATAGTGTGAACATTGGGACCCTCCCTGGAGAGCTTCCAAAGCATAGCACCACGCATTTCAGTACCAACCTCTTTGTTGCCCGAAAACAATAAAAATAAAAATAAATAAATGTATTGTTTTCTTTGTTGAAGTAAGCCGCTTTGTCTTCACCTTTCCCCAGGCCGCGCGACGTGCCTCGTTTTCTTCGCGCCCAGGAGCCACCCTTCGCGCGGGCGGAGGTGGCCGGTCCCTTCGAGACGGCCGCCCGCATCGTGGGCCGTGCGAGGCGTGAGGTCTTGGACCTCACGGAGGGCCTGAAGCTGCGGCAGGTGGACGGATCCGCCAGGGACTGGACGCTTTTCGCTGAAAATGTCCCTTGAAGGGCCATTGAGTGACATGGGTGTGGCTCAGAATTAACCAAGAGGGGTTACGCAGGTTTTGGTCTATGTTTCCACTTACCAGGGGTCCATTTTGGTACCGGTCTTTTGAGTCACAGCCACACGGGCGAACTCACATGTCCAACCCCAAAAACGGGCCTCGCCTGCTTTCTCGGGTCCTCTTGGGGAAGCAAAGTGGTTTTGAGCATGATCCTGTTGGAAACAAAGACCTGGACTCGAGACTGGATTCTTTACATTTATAGGCTTCAGGTTCAAGTCAGTCTTTGGCTCAGGATCACATGAGTCACAACCAAAACCTTGGTAATTGGAGGGTAGTAAGGGACAATCCCGGCCATGAATGGGTGCGGCCGCCTTTTTCAGTTCTTTATTTGGTTCTGGGTAGATATTTTAATAGCGGGTTTTGATTATGACTCACATTGAGACATTTCGAAGAACCGAACGCGTTTCGATTCGGTTCTCTGAGGATGCACTCCGCGGAAAGCGCCGAGGCGCTTCGGAGCCCGGGCAGCTTCACCGCGCGCTTAGTCCACGCGACCTTTATGGATGCGTCGGGTTATGTGGAGGGACTCAGCGAAAGCCAGGTGGATGAGTTCATTCAGCGTTTTACGTGACGTGCTCGCAGACGCGAGCAGCCAACAACCGGCAACTCGCTGTTTCAGCTGGCCAAAGATGTCAATAGCTACACTGGCAGACGGCACATGTCCGCCTGAATTGCCAGTGCGTGTAATTATTGTTCATAGCGCTTTCAGTATTCTATCAGGTCCAAGTGGCCATATATCGATGACTTTGTCAATAAGGGCCGCAGGCATGGCTTGGTTTAGCAAGGCCCGCGTTGATAGACGAAGGTTTGCTAGGGGGTGTTTGTGGCAGTATATTTGAATTGAATAACAGCAAGACGAGTTTTGGTTAGTTCATGCAGAAAGTTGAAAAGTTGAACGCTTGAAGTACCTGCATGCATGCAAATGCGCGCTTGTGTTTCCACATGTTGTGCTTTGGTCTTGGCACTGCCGATGGCGAACTAATCGCGCAAACGTGCTGGCAATCCAGCGAGGCATTTGTAGTTTGCCCTGCTGGTGTGATGCCGATGAAGCACCTGACCTATTGTCAGTGTTTCTTTTGGAGGTGCGTGTTGGTCTCTTTGTGTAAGGGAAGCTCCTGGAAGCAACTCCTGTTGAGGTTTTCACTAAGGTTTGTCATGGTTTGTCTCCAAATAGGGACCTCCCCCAAGAACATCCAAGAGCACATCCGCATAGAATGTGTTGCTTTTGGTTTCAACAACGACCCCCCCCATTTTGCGAGCCCTCGCTGGCGAGGCATCAAAGGTGAGCTGGCCTTGTGCGTGCTGGAGACAACCTTAGCCGGATGCAAGTCAGCGTGTAGCCCACAGGTCATTGAAAGTCGCAAGGTCGAGAAAAGGGTGCAGATGTAAGCATGCAGAATCATGGAGCAGGAAGCATGCTGCTTAAACTAGATTCCACTGAAGGAGCGATAGACGATGGCCGTGTCTTTTCTTGGGGGTGTAAGTTTCCACTCAAAGCTGAGACGCGCTCTTGATTGTTGTATTCATAGGGGCCCTTGGCGATGTTTGCTTTTGTGCCAGAGAGCCATGAGCATACATTGCCCCCAAGGGTTTGCTTCCTTGCCTATGTCACAGCGCATGTGCTTTGCTCAGGATCACTCCACCAACGGCAGCTTCTTGAACGGGAACAGGCGCGGTCTCGTGCAGCTTTCCGGCGAAAGCTATGCGTGGCTTCTGGCAATGGTGAGTGCATGTGTTTGTTTACGTGTTTTGTGTGCACGCTAGGTGCTTGGTTCCCCACGGCCCAAACATTACATCTATTTGTCCAGTGATGTAAATCACTATGGGATCAAGCTTTGACTTGACAAAAAGGCAATAAACAAGTAACTAAGCCCAGGTGATATCCCCAATTCCGCAACCCCGAGTGTGTTGCTGTAAATTGGTTGGTTTGCTGCGGGCTCGGGCACGGAGCGGACCTTTCAATGTGTGGAAGGGCTTACCATTCTGGATGAGCGACGTGGTTTAGCAACGGACAATTGTATTTGGTAGTACTGGGGTGTCGGTTTTGGGTGCGTCCCTATCGACTGTTGGTCATATTGTTGGGTATTCACGTGTCCCGCGCGCACCAGGCTCCCGGACAAGAACAAGCGCTACCGGATCCGCAGCGGTGACAAGCTCACGCTGAAGGCTCACAAGTTGCCAGCTGAAGCGTGTGCCCATTTCAGCGAACCTGTGCGCCAATCCAACGGCACCTTTTTCGCCTTTCCGGTTGCCGCGGATGTGACAGAACAGCCACATTAATGCAACGATTTGCCGGCAGCCGTGGGCTCCTTTGGCGTTGTTGGGCTCGATGTGCTGCGCAGTCCCCGGACATCGAGCCAGACTATGGCTGGAAGGTGGGTATTTCAGCCGAGGGTGTCGCTGCTAGATTAAAAGTAATCCGCAAGGAGTTCGGAGAACCAAATGCAGCATTGCTTTTTGGCCATGAACCTGTCAAGCTCAGACTGCAGAAACAAGGCCTTTGGGTGGCCCCGCAACTGACAACCCTGAGAATCGAAGCACGGCCCGGGGAAGTGTTGCAACCTTAGAGCCAAAACCAAGAGACAGCTTGCTTGTCAATAAACAATTACATTAATTTGGGCAACAGATTCAGGCCAAGCACGTTGTTTAAACTGCCAAGCAACAACATCACGGCCAGCATTCAATGGCCACGTTGTCTTGCTAGCCTGCTTGTTTGAATGTGTAACATCTGTTGACTTGATCAAGCCGGATGGCCTCTCTCTTTGACCGCCTTATTATTTGACTGGATGTGTGTTGGATTTTGTTGAAATAGGGGGACCACAAAATGCGTGATTGAGATCAGGACGGAGTCGGAGGTAGGCACTTGCCTCACATGTTGGCAGTCTTGATGCTGCCCGCTCATCCGGCTGGAGCTGACATAGCCGTAGAACTGTTCAAGCGACCGCCGGGGTTTGAAGGTGGACTTTGGCAACACGGTGGCCTACTTCAGCCGTGCCTGAGACCAGCCTGAGCTGCGCGATTCGCGGGTCTCAGGGATAGCACGCGCGGAATCCTAAACTTCAAACCTCCAACTGATCAATAACATGACATGTATGAGGAAGGTGACGACCGCACAATTCCTCGCGTGTTTGTTTTCTGTTTTGTTGACTTGACACAGTGTGAGAGGTTCAGGATTTCAGCTCCACTCAAGCCAAAGAGTAGGTTGTACCTACAGCCTTGTATTTCGGAGTGCGACTCCCACCGCTGATTGCTTGAGAACCAAAACCGGCATCGGCGATCTCACGTAGCTTTTTCTTTTTTGTGTGCAAACGTGTGCAATGATCCCAGCGTGCATGGGGGGTGCCACCATTGCGAGACTTCTTGCTTTACTCACGCGTTTCTTGAGGTCATCAGCCAACACATGCAGAGCCATATGCACCCAATGTCAAGATGTCGTGCTCGTTGCGACAGCTCTTTTTGTTGAAGGCTTTTTAATCCTTTTGCTCCTGGCTAAAGTATCAACCATTGCTTGTTGGCCTCGTTAGCCACCTGCAGCAAACTGAGCATAGTTTGAGCGGCTGGCACCGGCCAGAAGAAAACTGCCATGTGGTAGATTCTGTTGTCCTTAGCCGCATGTGTCGACTGCTATTGGGCAGTTGGTGAAGCCATGTGTGCACTTTCCGTCGGCTACTGCTTGCCATGTTTGCTTTTTTCACCACAACATGAGTTCACTAATTATTCCAACGCACCATGTTGGAAGAGTTGCAAACAAATGCCATTGATCAGCTGTGGCGGTGGCAGCGCAATTCGAGATGCACTGGCCAGTGAGACACTGGGACATGCTTGCAGCTGCCATGCTTGCAGGAGGCAAATGCGTTGAGATGGGGAAACATGTGCTGCGCTACCGCATGGGCAACTTGAAGCTTCAGAACATTGATTGTCTCAAATGTTGAGTTTGGGGGTCTCTCCAATGTGAATTGGCTTCTACTTGGCTATGCCAATTTTGCCACTCATTGCGAGCAGAGCCGTGTTTGAAAGAAGCATGTCGTCGGAAGCGGCACTACAATTGATGTGTCCAAGGCGAGCGGCGCTGGGCGAGATGATCCGTTGCAACACTGCGCAGGCTTAGACCAACGCGCGCTGCGCCCGCGACAAAGGCAGTTGCGGAAACTCCGATGCCCACCCCCAGACTTGCGCAGCTTGCGCCACCATACCGCAGACTCTGGTTCGGGCCCAAACAATTCAGCGCAAACGTCAATGGCGTCAATGACTGTCGTAGCGTTTTCGTGACGGTGTCTGAGGCTCTAGGTGTGGCTAGCCGCTTGCCAGGGAGCCATGGCTCGAATTGCTCGGACTGCTCTACAGAATTACTGGCATGGCTATTCCAATGTGACGGGCAGCAGGTTAGTAACAGGACATGGTCTGCGGATTGCTGATTCTGGCAAAGATGGGCCTTGGTGCTCAGGCAGCCATGAGGCTTAATTGTTGGACACTGCCAATCCCATGCACCTGCAATGGCGGATGCCCGAACCTGTTCCTTAACTTCCCCCAGCCATCCAGCCAGCCATCCATCCTTCCTTCTATCCATCACATCCATGAGTTTATCCATTGGCCTTAACCCACGGTCCAGAAGCCATCGCTTTGCATTTGTTGCATAAGTCCAATCAGGCCTTCCAAAGAGTCCAAAGCAACGTTGACCCGCCGCCTCTTCGTTAAGAGTATCGGATTCGCAGCCATGCCAATTTCTGGGTGTGAAATCCAGTGAGCAAGCGTTATTGCGAGCGCCTATGCTAATCCACATCATCGGTATGAAGGATTTGCCCAATTGACGCATTAAAACCTCCAGTCACCACCAGAATCCGCATTTGCTCGCTCGCTGATACATCGATGCTCGCTCGCTGATGCATCGATCAGACATGTCCGATTCCTCCGCTGCGAGGTCACGCTTTCATGCTGTTAACATGGCAATCATAATAGAAACAAATGTAATCCCCACAACTTTGGCTGTGCATGGTCGTCCTTGGGAAAGCCACCCAGGCCCGGCGTCACAAAGCGACACGGCGACGTCTCGCGCCGGGCGGTCGCCGGGCGACGGTCGCCGGGCGACGGTCGCCGGGCGACGTGCGGTCGCTACGGCTACGTTTGCGTTTGCCGTATCCCGGTTCTCCGTCTCGTGCACTCTTTGGGTTTCCGGTTCTTCATTCATGTCTGGGCTTCGCCCAATCTCGCTTCGGTCACTGCTCCGGCTGTCGCCGTTTCTGTGCGCTGTCACATCGGTCCCACTAGGAGAAACTTGCTTCGCATGCCTGGAGCACGTCCATCCAAATGCAGCAGGCGAGGACTGTGCAATGCGTTTGGCCTGGCGGCACGTCTATCCCCCCAAGAAGGAGTAACAACAACGTTTCCTGAGCCGTGGCTGGAATGTATCCCTTGGGGGTTGGACTGCCCGGGCAAGGAACACTGAAACACTGGTGGGTAGGGATGCCGCCGCTTGTTGCAGCACACACTGCAAAGCAATCTCGGCAACTGAAAAGACACCCCTCTCACGCTGTATCTCAAGCACATGAAGGGTTGTCGCTACCGACAGGCGCGCTGCAACTGCTGGAACGCCTGCTGCAAAACGACCTCAAGAAACGCATGCCAAGTTCTCGGCGGCACCGCGCAAGCGCCGCAAGCTTTTTGCATCCTCCAAGAGCAACCTGCGGTGGCTTTCGCGCAGGGCTGTGGCGAAGCTTGGCTCGCTCAGCACCAAGGGCATTTCTTCCTGTGCGCTGAGAGAAAATCACCACCGTCGAATCAGCACGGCGGGTGCTTGATATTTTTTTCTCGCACGCCTTTTTGCATCAGCACGCCCCCGAAACCCTGCTTAAGAGGGTCCCTGCGGCACTCACGTTGTTTTTCTGGAGGCCAGCGGTCCTCACCTGCTCAAGCGGCTGGCAATGGGCGGGGGGGCGGCGGCCTTCGCGAGGAGTGGGGCGTCGCCATCACAGTTGGACTGGCCAGGGGAGATTTGGCCGAGAAGAGCAAGCGTACAGAACAAGCGCGAAGGGGCCGGTAACTGAGGGAAGACCGGAAAAACAGCGAACAATCAACTGGCAGAGCGGTCAAGCTGCAGCTGTGGACAAGCTGTCCTCAACAACAGCGCTGGCCTGACGCTGCCACCGGCTGGATCATGCTGGATCTCCAAGCCAGGCGAGGCCATCGGAGCCCTCAAGCAAAGGAACAGGCTCGGCCCCGGCCCAAACTTCATGCCAAGTTGGGGGACGCCAGGCGGGAGAGGGCAAACTTGCGACAGCTGCCGCAGCACAGATGACGGCGGCAGCGAGCCACTGCGGCGTCGGAAGCCCGTCTCCTCCAGGACCTGTCTCGCCGCCTTGACCCCTCAGCGCTGGCGCTGATGGAATCTTAGCAGGGGTCCTTCGCTGGCCGTGCTTTGACCGCTCTCCACCGCTTCCTAAAACCTTGTCCGGCGCCTCCGGCCCCCCCTCTCCCCACCGCCGAAAACGCTTGGACTCCAGTGTCGACAGCCGCGCAGCATGTTCTCGGAGTCGCGGGCGCGCAATCGGACGGGCGGATCCTTGCGGTTGCGCGAGAAGCTTTGCTGTTGGTTTTGCTAGGCGAGCGCGGGGCCGCACGGCTCGTCGCCGCCGCGGGACGGTACCGGGCGGCCCCTGCCGAGCCCCTGGCAAACGCGGACGCAGTAAATGACCTCGCGGCCGCAGCAGCAGCGGCGGCCCAGCAACCCGCAGGCGAGCAGCACGCGAATGGCAGATGAGCAGGCGGCAGTGCAGCAGCGCCAACAACTGTGCCTGACACCGAATTCGTTGAGCATCGTGACAACAGTGCCAGACAAGCGGGCGCAGCGCCAGCTGCACTGACAGCCTCGCTTCCAGGCCCGCCGCCCACCGATGCATCACCAGATAACCGCAGCCCGGCACCAGCCGCTGAGCCAAGTGAGCCTGACGAGGCCGACGCGCTTTCTCCCGCTGCAAGGAACGCGTGAGAGCGCCTCCACGCCCTCACAGCCCAAGTTCACTGATTTTATTAAGGGTCCCAGATCCATGGGGTTTAGACCTTACCTCAATTTATCTCAAATTATCGCAATTCATCTTATTTTTGCATCTAATGTGCAAAAAGATGCAAACAAGTGCAAAAAGATGCAACAAAAGTGCAAAAAGATGCAACAAAAGCGCAACAATATGCAAAAAACATGCAACAAAGTGCAAAAACATGCAAAAACTGCAAAAATGCAACAAAATACAAAAATGCAAAAATATGCAAAACAAATGCAAAAAAACAAAAGCAACACACACAAACGTGCAAGCCTGCATGCAAACACAACAATTATGCAAACAACGTGCAAGAAATGCAAAAACAACAAAATCAACAAACTAATGCCACAAACTGCAAGAAATGCAAAAAGCAACATCAAAATGAATGTCGAGCATGGCAAGCACTAAAGTCATGATGACAACAATGAGTCCCATAATTCTACAAAAATGCACAATGAGGCCTCCAAATCTAAAAGTATGTTGTCTGAGAAGGGCCTGGTGTGTGTGTGTGGGTGTTGTTTTTTGGTTGCTCGTTGTTGGTTGTTGGTATGTTAGTGTTTGTTGTTTGTTGTTTGGTGTTTGTTGTTGTTTGCTTGTAGGTTGTTGTTTGTTGTTTGTTGTTTGTTGTTTTGTGTTTGCTGTTTGTTGTTTGTTTGTGTTTGCTTGTTTGTTTGCTTGTTTGTTTGTTTGCATGTTTGTTTGTTTGTTTGTTTGTTTGTCTGTTGTGTGTGTTTGTTTGTTTGTTTTGTTTTGCTTGTTTGTTTGTTTGTTAGTTGGTTGGTTTGTTTGTTTGTTTGTTTGTTTGTTTTGTTGTTGTTTGTGGTGGTGGTGTAGTTGTAGCTTCAGTTGCAGTTGTAGTTGTAGTTGTAGTGATGGTTGTAGTTGTAGTTGCAGTTGTAGTTGCGGTCGTAGTTGGATTTCCACTTGCAGTTGCACTTGTAGTTGCAGTTGTAGTTGTAGTTGTAGTTATTGTTGTAGTTGCAGTTGCAGTTGTAGTTAGTTGTCGTTTCTTGTAGTTGCATTTGTAACTGTAGTTGTAGT